TGTCATATAGTGGCATCCTCCGTAACATATTTAAGTCTCATTCTGTTGATTGGTTGGTTGGCATACAGTAATTTTTCTCCTCTCTTCTTCATATGTTTTTTCTGAAAGGTAGTTAAAGTTTGCTGTTCACTAATGACTAGGGGTAAATAACCTTGTTTCTTGAAAATGATGCTTTTTTTCTGCTGGAACTGGTGTGGAAGTTTGAGTTAATTTAGTGAGTGAGTAATGGAGCTGTATTTGTGGTTAATTATTACTAACATTACTTTCATTGTTCCACAGGCTTCAAATTTCTCTAAGATGCCTTCTGTTTAAGGGTGGGGGCTCCTTAGCTACAATTCCTTTTGCTCTATATGCATGCTCTCCCCAAATCCCTTAACATCCTGACATATATTAGTCATACATCAAGTCTCACCACAAAAGTTAGCTATTCCATAAAGTCTTTCCTAACTCTCTTATGCAACTTTAAGTAGTCTTACTACAGTTTTAATTTAAAAGCAAATATAATTTTTTCTCCTGGATTTATTCATTCCTAAAAAGAATATTTTATTTGAACTTGGGAAGAAGCCTGAAAAATAATACTTTGATAAATATTTGATAACTAATGCTGTAAATATGTTGGTCAATGAATGATTTAGTCCATAGTTACCTGATTCATCATGCATACACATGGTACATGCAGTAACTAAGTGTCAGAGAAACAAAGCAAGGTTATTGTGAATTTTATGAGTCTCCTTTTAAAAACAGAAAAGAGTGAAAAATAAAAAGATTGAAACTTTTATATTAATCATAGCTAATATTTCAGGAGCATTTACTATTTATTTGAACAGCTCTAAATAACTTCTATATAAGAATTAACTTCATCTTGATATCAACCTTGTAAGTCCAATACCATAGTTACTTCCTGTCCATAAATAAACTACACCAAGAAGGGCAAAGTGATTTGTTTAAAGTCATACAATTTCAAATGAGAAGGTTGAATCTCAATTATTCCAGCACCATTCCCCCATTGTAATCACAAATAAACACATTCCCTGGAGAGCTTTTGTAAAGATAAAAAGGGAGAAAATTATTTCTGTGAAGAGTAGTCTGAAGAGTATTATTTTCCTTAATAAAACTGTTGATATTTTTCTAGTTATTCTGTGTAGAGCCACAGTTAAGATGTCTTTGCAACTTTTAAGTAGCAACTTTTAAATAATTTGTGCAGAGCTGAAATACTACAGTAAAATGTTCGGTCAGCCTCAAACTTTAATTTCCAACTTGTCTTTAGTCTCTTTAAGTTAATGAAGCTCTCCTGGACGTGTAACTGTTAAGAGCACCAGTAGATGGGGGTTGAAGGGTAGCTCAAAGTGGAGCTTTGGCCTAGGTTTCAATTACCAAAAATGTCCACATGGAAGACAGACAGACAGACAGACAGACATAGACGGAAAGAAAGGGAAAGAGGAAGGGAAGGAAAGGGGAGGGGGGAGGGGAGGATGGAAGGAAGAACGAATGAAAGAAAAAAAGAAAGAAAGGGAGAGTGAGAAAGAGGAAGAAACTTTGCTGTTAGAATTTCTACTTCTCATTCATCAAATAGCATGATATTATTTGTTGGATAGCTTTGTAGCGCTTTCACCTACAGGCAGGCTAAGTCATGCTGTCTTTCAAGTTTGTACTCATTCCTGTGACTTGCTTCAGCCTAGGGAATATTTGCCACGTGACTGGTGGAGAGGGCAGAACTGACTTTTATACTACAACTGGTTCTCTTGAAATTTTTCCATAGTTCTTCATACTTTTTACCATGATTCCTCTGCTTCATTCTGAATAATTTTTACAAGTTTACATTTGAGATTTTTAATATTATTGAGACTTTAATTGCTGGGAAGTAATTCTTTGTTTTTGTTTTTGTTTAGTTTTAGACAGGGTCTCGCTGCGTAGTTGAGACTGACCTGGAACTCACTATGTAGCTCAGGCGAACTCACAGCAGTTCTCCTGACTCAGCCTCCCCAGTGCTGGGATTACAGGCGTGTGCCACCATGCCCAGCCTGGGAAGTAATATTTTGATAATACTCTTTGTTAGTCTTGCCCATGATGCCTTGTTTTATCATGCTTACTGAATTTTGTTGTGCAAATTTGTGTTCAGGTGGATTTACTCTATGCTTCTTGTAAAAGTCCATGAAGAACGCCTCCAGAGAGATATAGAAATCCTATCAAAAGCTGTGGTGGTCTCCTACACTAGTGCTATGCCTGGAGATCACTGAGAGTCTGGGCAGCACACAAGGTCTTCAGTCCCAATGTTATCCTTGGACTAGCACTAAGGTCAATTTTTCAGACACTTAAGAAAGAGCCCAGAAAGTCTTCAAGGGAAGTCCAAGATCCATGCATATTACTGCTGTTATTCATTTTACATTGAGCTTATGATGACTCACTGTTGTGCTTTATATCTAGATGCCACTCAAGCGCCTCATGCACCCCTAGACTGGGAATTCAGATTGAATTATGGGTCTTCTAGCTGACTTGCTGTTAGGGGATGAGATCAGCTTCGAAGAGGTGGGTCAGTGGTGCTGTGGCCTGGGAGGGTTTGTATCTCTGCCCTGCTCCTCTCTTCGTGCTCTCTGCTTGCTGTTCTCCATGGCCTTCTCTTATGCTGTTTCTCCTTTGGAGCCCACGGACTCAGGGCAGAAAAGTAAGCTAAAATAAAACTCTCGTCCTTTAAACTGCGTGTGTTGGGTGTTTTGTCCCAGCAATGAGGGAAGTAGCTAAGACAATTATACTTTTCCAATTTAATTAACCATTTTAAAGGAGTTTGAGTATGATGCATATGTCATTTCTTGCTGTTTTACAGTACGACTATTTTAGAATATCTATTCCAACTTACTCCCAGAAACAAAAGTCCTAATTTGTTCTTTTATATAACTGGTGTTTTGTTTTTTTGTTTGTTTGTTTTGTTTTGTTTTTGCAGTACTGCCCATATTTTTGTCAGCAATGCTTTCCATTTAATATAATCCATATATATTTTGGGTCCTTCCCTAATAAAACCAAAGAGTACTTCTCAGCAGTGTTGTCTGCATCTGTCTTATTGAAACTTGTCTGTTTTTTAAGGTTTTTTTTTTCCTTGACACTTTGCGTACTTTCTCTCTTATGAATATCTAAATGGTGCTGCATAGATTTCACAGTGCTCTCCAGTTTATCCCCTTCACAACTTTGCAATGTGCTCCTCTTAGGCAGGCCTAATTAGGCTGCCTTTCACCTCTTTACTCATTTGTGCCATTTGCTTTCAACGATGACATGTTAGTGGTGTGATAGGTGAGGATGGTGGGAATTGTTCTTTGCACTAGGACTTGCTGTCTTGTGCTTCTGCTGTTGTGAAAGTGGCATACTACAACTACTTCCTGGTCCCAGGAGAAAACTTCAGAGAACATACTATAGCTGCCCCACAGATTCGGGATATAAGCAACCCAAGTCAAAATCATCGAACTCCCAGCAGCTGTGGGTTCAGATGATTCTGGAAGGTTCCCCCTAGTTTGTGATGATATACTTAGATTTAATACAACAGAGTGGACAATGGGATTCTGTACAATTATTTTGTTTGGCTTTCCAGCTGTCTTGAGGCTATAAGAATGGTTTTGCATTTTGCATGCAGTTTGTTTCCTTTTTCCTTTAACAGGAAATACCAGAGCTGTGTTCTGTAGACTCTGAGACTTTGCTTTGTAGAAGGAACTTACGAAGCTATCCTCAGTATACTTTTTCACATCTATTATCAAGAAAAACTTTGGACCCATAATTTCTGTTTCCAAAGTAATCACTTTCCTTTGGTGTGTTCACGCTGATTTGAATGAATCAGCCTGCATGTTTGATCATTAGTGTTTGAGTACATGATATAACAAGGCCCTAGTTCTCACTGATCTTTCTGTTTGGGGTTGATACACCTGGAGGAAAATGATCATCAATCTCTGAAATTGTCCCTCCCAATATCCCTAAATCTCCTAACTGCTCTAGTGAATCTGATCACTTTTAGGAGGATATTTGAAGTTCCCAAGGTAAGCTGCAAAAGAATCTCCAAAAATTATGTATTCCAAGGAACCAGTGTATATTAATTTTCTTTTCTCTGAGACACAATGCCTAACAACCACAACTTTCAGGAAGGAAAGTTTCATTTGCTCACAGTTTCAGTCAATGATCATCTTGCTGTAAGGCCGGAACATCATGGTAGAAGGATGTAGTAAAGCAAAGCTTCTTTGTTCATGGCATCCAGTAACTACAGCAGAAGAAGAGTGACTAGCAGAAGATACAAGAAACCAGACAGAGACCATGAGGACTGGCCCCGTTACACACACAGACACACTTAGAAGAGTGATCCACCAATCTCCAGAGTGGATCCTAAAGTCAATCAAGTTGAAATCCCACTTTAACCACCACACAAGGTTTTAACTGCAAAGTAAATGTAAGATACATTGAGTCTGACAGCAGCATCCATGTCTGTGCAGCAGAAGGACCTCAACTGCAGGGGTACCCATTTGTTTCAAGATATATTTATAGGCCATTCACAAGATTGATGTGAATCTAACTGGTCTTGTGAAACTGTAGAGAAACATATTACCAATATCTCAAAGGAAAAGACCATTGAAATCCAATGATGCTGCTTTGTTCTTTGTTACTGGCCTGCTGAGGGGAGATATTCCAAACAAGGAGCCAGTGTCACGTTATTCACTATTGGTCTTCTATGCGAAGGCCTGGCATGTTGGTTAGAGATGAATCAAAGATTCTTATTTGCTTCTGGCACAATATATATGAAAAATATAACCAAGCACTATAAGATACTAATTGCATGATAAACAATGGTCATTGCATTGATATTTATGATTGTGTCCTTCATCAAACTAGACTTTTGGAGATGAAATATTATGCAAATCTTACTGGCGATCACATGATATTGGTAGATTCTTTCAAAACCTCTCTCTTTAAGCAAAAATTCCAAGAAATTTTTAAAGATTTTAATGTTTTCCAAATGGCATTTAGTGCTACATTTAGTGCTATTTTGGAAGTAAAGGGCTTTTGATAACTAAAAATTGAAGATGCTATTGGTTCATGTGTATGTATCTCTGAATGTGAAGGCACAGTGTGTGCCAGAAAATGAGCTCGTGGTCCTCAAAATGAGTCAATGGAAAATCCGTGGGCTGGATCCCAATCTAGGCGTGGCATCGACTTTGAAGAAGTCAGCACAACTGTCACATCCCCCAGGGAAGCAGCAGTGCCATTCAGTCTTCTTGACCATCTCAACAACTCCAGCCCACTGCGATGACTGTATGTGATTGTCGTTGCCTGAGTTTGGAAGATGCAAATTCAACTCAGGCCCGTGGGTGGTGCATTTGATCGTGAGGCTGCAGCCTTCTTCAGGGCACAGCTTGGAGTATTCTGAGCACAGGAGAGGTGCCCAATAGCTGGAGTGAAAACGCATCCAACTGTTTCAGAAGTATGGACAACACAGTGGAAAAAGCCCTACTTCTTTTAAGTCATCAGGTCCCTTTTCTCTATATCCTCAGTGGTTCTCCAGACCCAGAACTCTTGGGCAGGGTACATTTTTCCAAATGTCACTTATCTTGGTGATATCATAACTCAGTTTTGAAAAGCTGAGCTCTAGGACATGCCCGAATATGAGTATTTCAAGCGTCCTTTGCAGTTCCTACTGGGTAAGTGCTCAAGACATCTCTGCACAAATGCTCCCAGTATCACCTCATCTCAGCCTGAAGCATGGGGACAGTTAGGCTCAGTTTTCTTTTGTCCATGTGCATTCACTTCAGACATACAGTGACCCATATACCTGAGGAGGCGTGAAGGGAGCATCCACCCAACTGACAGCAGGAGCCTTTTCAGGTGGTCACAGGTCACTTGAAAAGAATGGTTACCTCCAGTGCCTCTTAAACTGAGCCTGTGACCAGGAAACTGAAGAAAACAATGTTAGTTTGCATAGTTGCTTTTTTATTTGGCACCATTCATTTCATTTTTTGCATATTTAATTTTGTACGTTAAAAAAAAGTTTATATAAACCCAGACAAAGTAATATGAGGCCTGTAGGCATATGAGAAAAACATTATTAGTTTTGTTTGGACACCAAATTTTAAGTTGGCTTATCATCCACCAGGACAACGCAAGTTAGTAATTTGGGGAGAAAATGTTAATACTGATCAAATTCATAAATTAAATTGAATAAAGTTGGATCAATTAGCACAATGATGGAATAATCATAAAGAGGCTTTATAAGGTGCATCAAAGCCACAAATTCAAATGCTTATCATGCTACAAATATACTGCAAATAATGTTTCTTGTACAGGAAAAGTGAATGGCTAAAACCAAACAAAAGCAGAAATATTAGAAATCTTACCTTTATTTCTTCTGAAATATGATATATTAATATGACAAAATATATACCTTGCAATTCCATGTCTGAAATTCAAAGTAAGACAAAATACGTATTTAATTATGTTTCCTTTATAACTCATTTTTCAATAGGAACTGGAAATCTTAACAACTTTGCACCAAGATGTCATTGTTATTTCCCAATTATTTGCATGGCAAGGTTGAAGAATTCATCCTTGAATTTTTCATCTGGAGTAATGGTTTCCTAATGGGAAACAGCTGTTCATAAATATGAGTGCTATCCAAATATGTATGAGAAAGTGATTGTGTGTTGGAGGAGTGTATTTTAATTTCTCCAGAGGTACTAGTAAAAATCTATTATTTCAATGCTGTCACACCTAATTTTGATCCCATTACACTGAATATCAATTAATTCAATTTTAGTTCTTTATTTTGCTATCAATTATCAACAATGATTATGTAATATAAATTCATTTCTACAAAATCAAAACTAAATAAAAATTCACTGGATTTTAGTCTGGAGTTCCACAGCATTTGAATGCAGTAAGCCCTTCATTATATTTTCTGGAAACCAATTTCTATACAATGAAATTATGTTTTATTTTTAGCAAACATTATTTAAAAGATAACTTAAAATAGGAGTTGTTGACTGAACCATCTAATTGTAAAAGTAACCGAATAATTGAAAGAGATTTATTCAAGATTATGTTGTTTATGCCAGGCATGGTGGTGGACGCCTATAATCCCGGCACTTGGGAGGCTGAGGCAGGAGGACCCCTGTGAGTTCAAGACCAGCCTGGGCTACATAGTGAGTTCCAGGTCAGTCTCAACTACAGAGTGAGACCCTGTCTCAAAAAACAAACAAACAAACAAAAAAAGACTACGCTGTTTATATTAACTAAAAATTCTAAATGTTTGAGTAGTGTTTGGTGAAAGGTATAGATTTTTCTGTTGGAAGAAATGAACAAGCCATTTTCTCTAGTTGAGTCAAGATCAAGATTCCTAAACTTCACTTAGTAGTATATACAATTCCCTTGTGCACTGATTAGTCAAGCAAAGCAAAAATGATTTCCTGAGTGATTTATGTCATTAACGGACCAGTCCTAATGTATTCTATAGTAGTATTTTATCTTGAAGAAGTGTTTGAAAGAAATAAACTTATTTGAGTACCATAGTCTTGAAAGATATTGCCACGTCGATTTAAATTCCATAACAAGTCAGTTGTAGTTTCTTACTGGAAGATAATCTGTATCTTGCTCACTCATTTTAACTAATACATAAGTAAACATTTCTCAACAGATAAAATGTATTTCATTGCTTCCTGTTGTATTTCTCAGAAGCTCCATGCCTGTACTATTCACTAATTTATACCACAAGAGAAATATGCGTGACTATGCTGTAATTTTAATATCAAATTTCTAATTAGCTGCAATTGGATTATACTTTTACCATACATTGTTGTATCAATCTCCAGCTACATGGTACCGATCTGAGCAACAGTACTTGGACCCAGATGTTTATCTGCAGATGCTTGCTAAATTTATTTTCTGCTGCGTTCAAAGACCTTTGATTTTAAATTTAAGATCTTTACAAAATGTTGAGCTTTTGGGTATAATTAATAACTAAATAAAGCTTGTATATAATTAATAGCTAAATTGATAATATAATGGTAAGAGCAGGCAGAATAAAGAGAGGTAGAAAGGAAACAACGAAACTATGATTCTAAGTCATGACCAAAGTTACTAAATGTCATCCAAATCTATACTCTGTACCTTACTTCCTAGGCTTGATTATACACCGTACACTTGCTTATAATCCTTTAACTGGCTTGTTTTCTCTCTTCTAGGCTCATCCTACCCAGATCTTGAAAGATACTGTAGGTCTATAAATGAACCTAGTTGACAAAGTAAAAGGTAGTAGCCGGATCTTAAAATGAAGAAAGAGATGCAAGAAGTTCAAAGGATGTTTTAGGCAAAATATCTTAGATCATCTATCTTCATGGATGCCCCCAAGACCATCAATGTACCACCTTCCCCAGACCTCAGTGTGCATTTTTCTTGAGCACCTGCACTTTTATTTTCTGAGCTATTTGGTTCCTCATGATTTTCCAATATGAATTCTCCCCTAAAATTGTCACATGTTCTAATTTTCAGTAACAATCGAGAAAATAAGATTTTGGTGCATAATTTATCAATTTTTCATACTTAAAATAATTCAAATTTTTAAAATAAAAATATACAACTTTATAAGAAGACAAATAATCCATCTTATTTTACTATATAACCACAGGTCAGTAATTTTTAACCCTGGGCTGGATGCACTGAAATTTGTCTTAATTATTATATCTTGGCCTTTTAAAGGATGATTGTGAGAAAATAAATTTTTAAACTTTCCTTCCTGAGCAGATTTGTCTTCTGCAAATTTCATAAACTAAATAAAACTAAATATAAAGGATGGTAGCTATGCAGCAATTTGAAAAAAATAAGGTGACTTTTCAAACTTCTAATGCGGGACTTATTATCATTTGCACGCATAAAGGACATCTTTATTTTTCTAAATCAGGCTGCTAAGAATGATATTCAATAATAGGAGAATCATTCCATTCTTCATTTACAAGTGAATTAGCATAACAAAGCCGTTTAATTTGAGCACTCACAAAGCTCTGATTAATACATTAATCCTTATATTTTATAGTGGGACGTATTTTTGCAAATAATTTGTATAAGAAAACTCTTCTCACTCTTTTTGCTTTAAAAATCTTAACTCTTCCTATCCTGCCATTTCAGTAAAGTAAGATTTCCATGCTACCATTTCTTTCTTTCTTTTTTCCATTGAGTTATTGGTGCATCTTAGGTAAACAGCACAGTTACACTCATCACTGGGATCTTGTACCTTTACACGATGCATCTTGGTTCTTATTTTTTCCCCATACCCCTGGCCTCCCTCCACCCTTCCCTATTTACAAAGACTTTGTTTTCACTTTTTCCTTTTCTCATATTTTTTTCTTTTCCCTTCTTTCTTTTCCCCTACCCTTCCCTCTTCCCCTACTCCTTTAGCCCCTTTCTTCTTATTTTACATTATCAAGTATACAATTTGAACCTTATTAACACTTTTAGTTTTTCACACCAGAGAAACTATTCAGTATTTATACATGTGTGTCCTATTTATTTCACTTGAAATTATGGAGAAAATAGCATCCATTTTCCTATAAATTATTCTAGTTTCTCATTCTTTATGGCTGATTAGCACTCCATTTTATAGAAAAACCACATCTTCTTAGCCAGGGATTTAGCTCAGTGGTTCTGTTGCCTGCCTCATACTGCCATTTCTTGAGTAGAGTTTAAGCTTTTGGAGAGGGACCGAGTATTGAAAGACTCCCAGGTGGGGAGACATACAAGGTCTTTTCCTCTCTTTAGAGGCTTCTGGACGGTGTTTCTCATGGCCGTTGTTTCAGTAAATGCTCATGTCTGATATTACCTGTTTTTGTTCTCACAGCCAACCCTGAACTAATTACTTTCTTCTCAGTTCTTTGCTGGGTCAGTTCCAAACTCTCTTTAATAATTCCTATATTTTTCCTTTTAATATGCTTAAAGAATTCAATAATATTTCATTAGCTGTGTGGGCACACAGGATATCAAGAAGACCTAAGTTCTTGTTGGTTAATGTGTGAGTTAGTAGTCAAGCCCTTCTGCTTTGGAAAATGGCAATGTTTGGAATAGAAGTTTAAGAACTTTACCCAATACTGATGCCTTTACATCCATACTGTTACTAACAAATAATTTGACTTATTTAATGTTCATCTTTACACTTTAGATCATCTTCACACGTATCATTTAGAAGTCACAAAACGGGGTAAGCAAAAATTGTCAATTCTTATAATTTCTTTAACTCTGAGATCCTGTCTGACTGCCTTACCAGGAAATCCAGCCTCCATTGTTATGCTACTGCTTTTCTTTCCCTAGAGTCATAAAATCATTGAAAAAACTTGACTAGATAAGAAAGAATTATTAAAAAAAAACAAACCTCTACTCATCAGATCTTCAGTGACATGCTATTTTTCTAAGTCCACATGGCTATTTCATATGAATCAGAGAACAGCACCCCAGTGCAGACAAAGGGAATCTTTTCTGGGTATGGTTATGCCGTGGGTACAGCAGCCAGTCCTCTGGCTGACCTTGTGATGGTTGAAGTGTACCCAGGACAAAGATCCTCTAAACCCCATGCCCTACTCCCACTCAACTCACTCTAGAAATAGCAGTTTTCCAAACCTAAACCTCTTCATGAAAGATACCTACTAACATTTGGTTGCTCAAATTCACATTTAATTGAGAAAATTACAGGGTTTCAAGTTCTGGAATTAGAATTGGCACCATCTGATTAATTTCTGCCTGCTGTCGATTTTTTATGTTTGGATAAAATTTCTAATCTCATGGCTGTCAGTCAATACTGTATACTATGGCCATGTAAATGTACAATTGCCCATGTGGAATATTATTTTCAAGTGCTTATAAATTCTGCTATAATTAGTAAAATGAGCAAAATTCAAATGTATTTTAAAACAATGAATGAATACTGAAGAAAGTATGCATTTTAAAAAAATCAGTGAATGGTGAAAGTCAAGTTACTATGTTGGGAGAAAAATTTGTCTGGAAATTTTTTGAAACTTAAAATTAGTGTCCAAGCAGGTCAGGAAGACCAATGCTTCTGCTGCAAAAACTTTTTAAAAAGCCAGAAAAATTACAAAATAAAATTAAATTTTAAAGACATCAAAGAACTGTGAAAACAATGATGATTTGGCAAATTATAATTATTGAGAAGGATGAATCACTCTGAGTGACTTGATGATCAAAGGTGGTTATTTGCTGATTCTGAGGTTAGATTAAGGGTCAACTTGGATTGGGCAGAACCGGGGAAGTTAGACTGCTATCTAAAACTGGAACATTGAACCTGGCACTTAAGAAAAGTCAATACAGGGAAATTTGCTATGTTCTCTTGCAGTGTCATAGGCTGGATGTCTCAGCCGAACATCTCCTCAAGACAGAGTGAAACTCCCTCAGTCTTTCAAT